CGGCCTCAAAATCGATTCGTTGACGATTCCGATTGTGAGCTCATAATCGATTTTTCGTATGAATACGTGATTCCGATTCCGGTCAAGAGATCTGTACTTTCGATTCATTCGAGAATTGCGATTCCAGCCTCTAAATCGATTCGATCACTATACAGATTCTGATATTAGAATCGATTTATTAGAATCGTTCATGATTCCGATTTCTGTCGCGGAATCAGTTCTTGCGATACGTTCGCGATCCCGATTCCGGCCTTGGCCTCGATTTTTTCGATTCGCACGCCTTTTCGACTCCGGCGAAGAAGTTGCTTCTTTCGATCTGTTCACGATCGGAATCGATTCCTTGGATTTGTTGAATCATCAATTACGCGGGAAAATGTTTCGCCTTATCTTTAAATCGAAGTATACAGCGAAGAGCTAAGAGCATACTTATTATTCCCCAAGCAAAATTAGAGACACTCGACTACTGAGATCCAGGAAACGTATCGATTTCTTCTTGATTACTGAGTTCGTCCCTGTCAAATGGAACGGCAGCCAAGTCGAGCCGCACGGCATAAAGTCCGAAAGAGATGCACTCGCATGGCTGGGTCGCCGCTTGCGGAAAATGCACCTGAGACCGAGAGCCAGGTCAAAAACCGACTTGACGCTCAACGCTTGCCGCTTGACGCCACCGGTGCACGTGCATTTATGCGCGGCTGACTTATTGCCCAATTACAGTGGACGACTGCTTTTCAACACGGATTACACGCCAAGCAAGTTAGCTCGATTGTTGGTACTACTGTTACGGCAGTCACTACAGCCCCGTTTAGAATAGAAGCGACAACATCATTTTTATGTCCAGACAAAATTGTGAAGGTTTGCATTGGCTTGTCGAAGTAGTTTGACACCACAGACATAAGCATTGGACTGATAAGTCGTATGCACTGGTATTTCGAGTAGCTTTCTTAAGTTTCCTTAAATCATATTTGAAAGTCGAAGACGTACATCACAGAAGCATATGATATTTAACTAAGCGTCCCCCAAGGTTCAGTTTTGGGGCCACTTATATTTATATTATTTATCAATGATTTACCATCCTATATCACCTCAAATAGCTTAGTATTCTAAGCAGATTATACCACCATTGACGTAGATGCTGACTCTATAGAAGAACCGAATCACAAGGTGAACGTAATTGCTGCCGAATTTAAGTAATGGTGTTCGAACTTCTTGATTGTGAATGCCAGCGAGACAAAAGCGATGCAGTTTTGTGCTGGGTCAGGATCTAACAGGAGACATTACAGTGGTACTTCTGTTAAAGTAGATTCTGACCGTAAACACTACAAAGTTTCTGGGACTTCATATTCACATTGACAAGATCAAAAAGCTAAGCTGAAGAACACTTTTCGGTGTTTTGTGCTATTTCTTACACAAAAAAATGCTTTACAACTCTTCTCTAAATTTGATAGTTTTCGAAATATAAGCTGTTGATATTTCACGTACCGAAAACACCTAACTTTATTCTGCTAATCATACTAAACCCAAGTAATCCTCACCTCTACCAGCTACGTGGAAATTTTTCAAGATTCTATTAGCGATTAGGTATACGAAAGCAACAACGTTAAAATTAGAAAAGACCAACCAGAAAGTTGAGTAACCTCGGTAAATGCCAGTAATAATTGTTTATAGCAACAAGAAATAAAAGAGCAGTCAATACAAGCCCACGCTGTTTAATTCCTCTAACTAATAAAACGAACGCGGATCATGATCCAAAATTAACCTCTGCACAACACAGATGGTCCATTGTCGAGCTTATGTAACTGAATACACATTGTGTCTGGTTGTATCATGTAATACGCCCGTGTAATAATGTGTGGTTCGATGTAAATGCTGTACGTAAATGCAGAAATATGTGCATTTTCTCTGCAAGGTGGCATAGGGGCATTTTGGATCCTTGAATATCTTGAATAAAATAGCAATTCTACGACGCCGTATTGACTTTCCAACTCACTACCAAAATGTATGACTGAACTAGGGAGTGCTTTTAGAAAACAATTGAAACAAACTTTGAATACAATAGCTACCTATAGTATTTCAGAATTTGCGATAGATTGAAAAGCCATTGTGGATTTTAGACCAAAACCGTTGTGTTTTATTTTTGTATGTTTGATTTTGTATCTTTACAGTGTTTGCTTTCAATATTTGTTATGTGAATCTCGTATTTTACCGCTTACCTATATTCTTATCGTGTATCACGTATATATGCTTCTACTTTAACGTTTTTGTTATTTACTGCTTAGCTGATGGTTTTACAATCAAACTTGAGGCAACGTTGCTCTTGAAGTGTTTTCAGCGAAGGCACTGTGATAATTCCTTCAGCATTTCCTACATTCTTTTCACTTATTTTCTCTGAATGTATCTGCATCTTCCCTATTTTTGTGCAATTTCAATTATAGCCACAAATTTGATGCGATCATTTTGCGTCAAATAAATTCTAATGGATAATCTGCAGAAACCACTATGTCTTTGTCGAGCACACCCACTACATCAATTACGGCGTGACAGTTGACCGTTATCTATGCGACAGATGAATTAATGTTGCTAGGTAGATACACCTCTACGACTGTCACATCCATTCAAAGATACATGTGGAGTGCAGCGGCAGCACTGCTATGACCTTAATCTCTGTGACTGCATCAACCGTGGACTTGGGTCATGTTTCATATACGACAATAGTAAAGTCGAAGAGTATACTTAGGTGTATCAAGAGAAATCACACAAGGCGAATACAATTAGAGAGTGATAAGAGACGTATCCGAAAACATGGCGTCCACATCACAGCTGATGGCGTCAAAACAAGTGCTGTTCTTATTTAGTAGTCGGAAACAAATGAAGTGTTGCCAAGTAGATAGTGCTTTATGGTTGTATTCTTGTCAAGTTTTTTTTACTGTAGGTTGGACATTTATTCATGGTGGGGAAAGTTATTCTTAAAAGCTGTAAGTTATCACATAACTATTTAACTTTTAGGACCTTTCCGGAACCTTAGAGGATTTAGTTTAGTAACAAGAGAGGAAACGTCAGCTTGAAGTGCAAACGTTTGCTAACCTCAAACTGCTTATTTTTTGACATGGCTGCCAGTTGTCTAGACAGTCTGGTCTCAAGACGATGTTCTTACTTATATCGTATCACATTTTGACATGATCACCAAATACCGTGAAAAGAAATGGACTATATTCAGCTCAGTATAAATGTAGCGTCTCTTAAACATTTTATAGTGATCTGACAACACCGCCTTGGTACATGCAGCGCTAACTATGAGCATATCGCCGAACCAAGGGCATTCCGCTCATCGCCAGTGGTTTTTTTCGGCAGAAATGAAGATTTACGAAATTAGTGTTGTGTACAGAAATTTATTTAGATTTTCTTCCACACAATCTGCCGCAATTACTAGAAGATCTTCCTCTAAATGTGAGACACAATATCTGGTTTCTACATGATGGGGTTCCATCACATTCTAGACGAGAATTTCATGAACATCTAAATAATGAGTTTCAGAATAGACGGATAGGGCGCGATGCACCCATTTCTTGGCCTGCTCGCTCCCCGGATTTAACGCCCTGCGACTTTTTTCTGTGGGGCTATTTGAAAGAGTTGGTGTATCATTATGGAGCAGTAAATACTCTGGAAGAACTTCGACGCTTGTGATTTAATTCGTGGACATCAGGATATGTATATATATACTTCGAAGTTGAGTCATTTATTTTAACAGTGAGTAGATCTGATCAAAAGAAATGTTTTTTTCCTTTACCATTTTTCTGGTAAAATTAAAGTAACAAAGTTATAGCCCTTTGGAAGTTTGAGTACCGCCCTGTCTCAATAATAATATTATGTGCTCGTGTTTGGCAACAACGGATATAATCCGCCTTATCGGATCATCGCATCGGAAACAAAAAAGCGAAAGAATTTGGAACGATGTTTTTACAATTATTTATTCAGTTGTATACAGTCAGTGTCAGTCGGTAACGCGTGAGTGAATAGTGGTGTCTGTTGCGTGGCTCAAACGAAATCAAAAATGGCACATGTTTACGAAAATGCTGAACTTGCGGACATGATTCTTATTTACGCGGCATCACGGATTTATGCGGATCGAATTTAAAATTCCCATTAATTAAAATATAGTTTATTCAACTGCCTCTGGTCGGTTTAACAATTTCTTACATAACATTCTGAAAATCACATCATCTGAAGTGATTTGGCAACGTTTTGGCACACGCCCACAATTCGTTCCATCTTTCAACACAGACATTGACAACCTTCGGCCTTCTGTCAAAGGTTCATCTCATTCATTATTCCATGACCACCATTTTGTGCAATCATCAAGTGGCTTCACGACGTAATGCTCTAATGTTTTCTAAATAATTTTAATCTGTCTTTAACTTGTCTTGTCATATTTTATATAATTTTAACCATTGTACCATGAATCCAGCTCTCACCATGTTACTGGACGTTTCCCTCATCCTATACGAAAAAAACAATTAGCAACATCCTCACATACTACTGTAAGTTGATTCAATTTAAATTCATTTTACACTTTTGTTGATACTGTTATCATTGTAATTGCAGCTCCTGATGATGATGGCAAAGTCCATTGAAAGCTAGAGAGAATTAAAAAAAGTATAAAGAGTCCTCTTTGCTTAAATTTTGTCGAAGTACCCAACAAAAGGCGGAAGCCTTAATTTTTCACCTTACGAGTATATATATATATATATACGAGTATATGTATATGTGTATATATATACGAGTATATGTATATATATAAATGCTTGTAATGAGTAATGGATTCGCCGAGCAATAATCGAACTAATGGGGACAATTTTGAACAGTTTTTGTTCTTTAGCATAGAGAGAGTAACACTGGACGCAAAATAGGTCCCTGAGGTACGCCTATGGTTTCACTACAGTGTGTGTTATTCTTTCACGTCCGAATGTTGCACATACTCCAAGACACAATCTTAAACAGCATCTCACCTCTGGTGGCATAGAAAATAGCGAATAAAACCTAACCCCACGACCTTCTTTCCAGAGATGCATCCCAGAATTCGAGAACGCGGCCTTCAACGTGCCCATGGAGGCCACGAACACTTGCGGGGACAGCGGCCCCATCGAATACTGCATCCAGACGGGGGCCGGTATCAGGAAGTCGTGCGAGACCTGTCATCCAGGCACTCATGATGCCAGGTACCTCACCGACCTCCACAACAACGACAATCCTACCTGGTGGCAATCGGAGAGACTATGTTTGAGGGCATCCAGTGGCCCAACCAGGTCAACCTCACGTTGAAGTTCAGTAAGTATCAACCAAAAAAACAGACAACATGTTAACTAGTTAGCTCCTAGTCTTCGAACAGCTCATTCCGCTGGGAGCGTCACCCATAGCGCCATCTATCGAGGAATTACTCAACGACATGCTGCAAGGGAGTTCGCCAGCATGCTTTGTCGGTTGCATAATGTTGAGATTGTAGAGTATGTGTCTGCCAAGCGGTGACAGAAAGAAAATGATTGAGTAGCAGAGTAGCAGGTCGCATCTGGATGATTGTGTGTTTCGGTTTTCATGTGTATAAAATTAGTGGTATTTGCTATTTGAGAAATGTGCTGCCCATGAAGTATTAGCTGTGCCTTACGGGTTATTTATGCGTTGTTTTGTCTGAAGAGAGGTTATGTTCAAAGTTATATCTATGGCTTTATTTTAAAAACTATATATATTCCCTTACCTTCAAAGCCACGCCTCAGAAAAATTGGGAATAACGCACCACACACAAGATATTTTCGCAGTGCGTCACAGCTAGGCGCTGATTTGTATTTTCTACTTGACATCACAAAAAATAATGTAAAATGCAACCTATTTTCTCAAGTGTTAGTTCTGCACCAACCAGGATTTTCGTTTTCTATCTCTCTCATCTTTTAGATTCATCAAATTTGCATATTTAATCTCCGGGATGAATAAGAAAAAAGTGGATGCGCAATTCATGTCTAGCATTGCATACTTGACCCAGTGGACAGTTACTGTATCCGGCACCACGCTTTGGAAATCAAGCTTTATAGCCTCTGCGCGCTCCTTCGCTCTCCGGTACGAATTCTCCGAATGGGGAGGACTTGCTTAGATATAGGTGTTATGTCCAAGTGCCTCAATGGTTGCTTCAATGATAAAAATAGCATTTGCATACTTAACTGATACCTATGTAGTGCTGCCACTAATTTTGGAGCTAACTATGAAACTTTTCCTCATTGGAGTTTGAGTGGTACCAAGCTGTGTGAAGATGAATTTTCTTGCACTAGATTGTTAAGGAAGCAACAGATTCAGCTCGCCGCTTTTTTTCTTCGGAGTTCCTGAGACGAGCCTTTTCTTCTTTCATGGTTCTTGTCCATCTCAGCTAAATGACCAGGACCAAATGAAATTACATGGTATGCGTTTGAAAAAAAGAACTTTCTTTTTTTGTGACTGATGACTGCTACTGTGCAAAGAAATTTCTGCATAGATAATTATATTAATGACAGCTAATAAGAGCTGTCTAGTCCGTCTCAACTTTCGGCAACCCGTACAAATTTAGTCCCATTATAGTTAACGACAGGGTCGATTTTTTGCTACCGCTTATAGTGCTTTCGGATGTTGTATCAACCGTGTTTCAAGTTTTAAAGAAATCGTTGTTCGACTGCTTTGATTAGCCCGTCTTGCAGGTCCGCAAATCATGCATCAGTAATAATGACTTGTGGTCTAACAATGCCTTTTACTTTTTTACAGACAAAGCGTTCGACATTACGTACGTGAGGCTGATATTCTACTCTCCAAGACCTGAAAGTTTTTTCATCTCTAAGAAGACTGCTGCTGATGGACCATGGATACCATATCAGTACTACAGGTAGGACTTTTCTTAAACTAATTCCTACTTTTTTCTATCCACGTGCAGTTTATCTGCCCATTAATTTTTTAATTAGATAATAATTACGGTTCAGCTGATTTCTATACCTATACTGACTGGACTAATTGTTGACTCATAGTTTCTTTCAACGAGCTTTATCTGGAAGCTGATCGAGAAACATGAAAAATAGCACAGTCTCAAAAGTAGTTTATCTGACCACTCATTTATCCTTTTGCCTGCAAGATTAAGTTCTGCGACCTTCTTGGAATTTTTAAAGGCTGAACATGCTAATATGTGGGATGATGTTATGTCAGATTTAAGAAGATTGGCCTGGTCCCAGCTTGATGGTTGTCCAGCTCATTATTCGAGAATAGTTAGAAACTGGCTGGACGAAAATTATCCAGAAAGATGGATCGGCCGTGGAGGACCAGTCGCCTGGCCTCCACGATCCCCTGACCTAAATCCATTAGATTTCTTTGTGTGGGGATTTCTAAAAGCAAAAGTGTACCAGACTCCCGTAACCACAAGAGATATGCTAATAGACAGAATCAGGAATGCATGTGATGAAATAAGGCCTTATTTGAATAATGCTATACCACGTTCGATCATTCGTAGATGTGAATTGTGTATTGAACAATTGGGTTTACATTTCGAGCACCCTACTTTAGATTTTGTATGTTTGTCCTAACTATCCAATAGCATTTTAGTTGTAAATAATTAATTTAATTTGTTAAAAATAATATTGGAAAATTAAACAAATTAATATTCTGTTTTTTTGTGTTTATTTGGAGTTAGGAAGTATTGATGTGTTTAAAAACACAATCTAAACGATCATCTTAATTACTTGTAATGCTCAAATCGAAAATGTAAAAAAAATATTATTTTCCCATAAATAATTAAAAATGCATCGACCTTAAAATCGAAATATCACAAAAACGGCTAACTATAACGAAAACTCACAAGAGAGCTTTTTTATGCAGAAAAGTGCGAAGAATCAGTTATTTTATTAAAAAAGCAACAAATTGTACTAAGAAAAATTTTTCGGTCATTTTAATACACTACAGGTACAGTAGAGAGCGCCCTCTAGCGGCTACAGTAAAACTATGCCCATGGTTCGTTTCGTCGTACCAAAAAACTCTTGTATACCAATTTTCACTGTTATACATCAAATATTTTCGAAATATTTTAAAATATTTTAGAAAGTAATTTAAACACCCTGTATTTCGGAAGCCACGCATTTTTCGACCCATGTTTATGCATTAATTTTAAAAGTTCTATCGAATCTTAAGGTTATGCAACAATAAACCCCCTGTATATTAAATGTTTAAACGTTAGATAAAATGACAGTTTAGCTGACTGTCATACCTATATTGACTGGACTAATTTTTCTTTGAACGCTTTTTCAACGATACTTCATCCAGTAACTTATCCTGTGAAGCCGATTTAGAAACGTGAAAGGTTAAGAAAAAAATAGTACAGTCTAAAAAGTAGCGATTTATACAAATGGAGATGAATCAAAACCATGCACACTTTATAATAAAGAAAGGAATATTTTTTCCAGAATGTGCGACAAGCAAAACAGGGCATACAACGTCAATTTACTTCTACTTGAATTTTCAACATTAACATCTATAAAAATGGAATATGTCGCATTAATGATGTTGACTTCATAATATTGAAATAATCTCCAAGTGGCATGTGAAATTGCAATCCACCAGGCTTATTGCCAATAAAGCGGGTTGTATATGTACCTTAAAAGGAGCGAGGAAAAAATTAGTGTTCATCAATGTGCTGGCCGCTCTTTAAAAAACTTCAATAACTCATTTATCTGAATAGCAACATACGCCATTTTCTTCCAGTAATTACGTGCATGTTATAGGTCAGTATTCAGAGAAGGAATTCCATTTGAAAATTATTTTCAGATCATTGTACGTCGCGCTATTGCGAGCATGTTGATCGAGAACATTTTCAAATTCAAATATACTAAGTGACATATAAATCCGAACACCCAGTTTTAAATGGTTTTATTTTAATAAAATTTTGTATAAGTACTTAATGAAGCATAATAAGTAAAGGATAAAAATTTCAAAATGATTGCACTGCTTTAAAGCCCTTTGACCTTTAATAATGTGTGGATGCACCTGATGTGCTACGCATTCTCCAACGCGCCTAGGCATGCTTCTGATCAGGTGGTCAATGTCCTCCTGTGGTATCTCATGCCAGGCAACCACCAACTCCTCTCGAAGTGCTTCTAGAGTCTGAGGAGGACGTTGCAAATTGAGCAATCTCCTACCCATCATATCCCACACGTGCTCAATTGGGGATAAGTCGGGAGATCTTGGTGGCCATGGTAACAATGTGACATCATTATGTTGAAAGAAGTCTATTGTGACTCTTGCAACATGTGGTCGGGCATTATCTTGTTGGAAAGTTGGATCTGCCAGGGTGTCAAGATAGGGTAAAAGATGGGGTTCTAGAACTTCGTGGATATAACGCTGCGCGTTCATGTTTCCTCTGATGAAGATTAAAGGTGACCTGGAACCATAAGCTATAGCACCCCAAACCATAACTCCAACAGTGTGATGAACATGTCTTTCAACAAAAAACTGTGGATCCCTCCTTTCACCACGTCGCCTTCTAACCCTTACACCGACGTAATCGCCTTGAGTGGTGCAGACAACGGTCACTCTGGGATCAGGAATGGAACAGTATTGTCTTTAGTGACGAGTCTCGATTTTGTTTAGGCATGCACGATGGTCGTGCCAGGGTTAGAAGGCGACGTGGTGAAAGGAGGAATCCACAGTTTTTTGTTGAAAGACATGTTCATCACACTGTTGGAGTTATGGTTTGGGGTGCTATAGCTTATGGTTCCAGGTCACCTTTAATCTTCATCAGAGGTAACATGAACGCGCACGTTATATCCACGAAGTTCTAGAACCCCATCTTTTACCCTATCTTGACACCCTGGCAGATCCAACTTTCCAACAAGATAATGCCGACCACATGTTGCAAGAGTCACAATAGACTTCTTTCAACATAATGATGTCACATTGTTACCATGGCCACCAAGATCTCCCGACTTATCCCCAATTGAGCACGTGTGGGATATGATGGGTAGGAGATTGCTCAATTTGCAACGTCCTCCTTAGACTCTAGAAGCACTTCGAGAGGAGTTGGTGGTTGC